CCACCCTCAGTGCCCTCTTTGACTAAGCCCCACCCTCAGTGCCCTCTTTGATAGCCTCTTCTCTGCTGATTTGAGTCCCTCAGTGCCCTCCTTGGTCTCTTCCCTCAGGGATGCATCTCTTAGGATGTCAATTTCGTCTGTCACTCCTTGTTTAAGAGACCTAAAATGGTTCAGAAAAATTTTCAGTCTTATATGAAAGTAAGAAGAAGACTATAATAAATAGTTATTTAGGATTTTTCAGCTTTGATAACCCCTAACATATATTTCATTTTATCTATACTTTCTATTTCCACATATTCCTTAACTGTATTCTGAAACACACACACACACACACACACACACACACACACACACAGAGAGAGAGAGAGAGAGAGAGAGAGAGAGAGAGAGAGAGAGAGAGAATATTACTTAATTATCAAACAGTTCAACGTATATCCCTAAAAGATAGGGCTTCCTTAACAAAACCCATAAACAGGGGTTAGATAGGTGGCTCAGCAGTTCAGAGCACTAGCTGCCTTTGTAGAGGACACAGGTTTGGTTCCCAGCCTCCACGTGGTAGCTCACAACTGTCCTTAACTTCAGTTCTCGGGACTCAATGCCCTCTTTTATCCTTTAAGGGTACCAGACATGCGTGTGGCACACATACAAGTAGATAAATATCTATACACATATAGTAGCAAAATAATAAATCTTAAAAACATAAACTGCATGATCTCAATACTATACAATAACTCTGTTTGTTTGTTTTTGTTTGTTTGTTTTTGAGACAGGGTTTTTCTGTGTAGCCCTGGTTGTCCTGGTACTCACTCTGTAGATCAGGCTGGCCTCAAACTCAAAAATCTGCCTGCTTCTGCCTCCCAAGTGCTGGGATTAAAGGCGTGGGCCACCACTGTCCAGCCAACTCTTTTAATTTATCTGATATTTGCATGATATTTGGAGCTTTTCAATTGCTTCAGAAATTTCTTTTTTCAGTTTTATTTTTAAAATGGGGTACAAATTAATTTGATTCACACGCTGCACCTGTTTTATCTTGTCTGACATCAATACTTCATTCTTCTTAATTGTTGAATAATATTCCATTGTACAAATATACAACATTTTATTTATCAACTGCCTTCAGTTGATGAGCATTTATGTTACTTACACATTTTGAGTATTTACAAACAATACTGTTATATCTGTGTACCAACTTTGTGTGAATATATATTTTCACTTCTTTTTTCTGTATACTATGACTAGATTTCTGGAAGACATAATACCTCTGTATTCAACTTTTTGAGGGACTGCCAAAATGTTCCTCAGAGTTGTATCATTTAACAACCCAGTAATTTACATATCCAGCAATGTTCCTAGTTTCTTCTTTGCCAACACTTGCTACTATCTTTATTCCAGCCATCCTAGTGGGTAAAACGCTATATGCTATTGTAGACTGCACAATATTTTATTTTCATTTCTTTGTTTCTGTTTCAATTTTTAAACAGGACTTCTCAAGTAGTTCAAGGTGGCCTCATGATCTCCCTTCCTGTTTCTCAAGCGCTGGGATCGCAGGTGCATGCCCTTATTCCTAATTGGTATTTTAGCTGTTTCACTGCCTGGCTCTTCTAGGAAACTGCCAACATTATTTTCAGACTTTCCAGAGCCTAGTAGAATAAATTACCTTAGAAGCAGGTTGACTTTTGAAATTGTAGTGTAAACATTTCAGTGCAAGACAGCATATGCATTTACAGTGAGGTTTACTATTCTAAATAAACTTAGAGCAGTCAGAACCCAGTCAAACAGAAATGGGAAAGTTTCTTCTTCAGGATTCCTCTTCCCTTTAATTCACTCAGGTGCCAGCTCCTAGGGACTGAGTGACGGGAGGGGAGGGTGCTCACATTTTTTTCCACACTTCATCATATGGCAGAAATCCCTGAATTAGCAATTCCCACCTCCCCAGTTGGTGTATGTGTGCGTTTCTGATTTAGCTGATGAAGAACAAACCTCAAACTACTCATTTCTAACACACGCTGGTGGGCAGTTGGTGTACCTGGTTCGGGGTCTAAACTTTGGAAGCACTATTCTAAAGCCATCTCCTGATCTACCGGAGGAGCCTACGCGTAACTGCGAGATGCCGGCCCATGAGCTCAGCACTGGTTCAGCAGCCTGGAAGCTGTCTTAGTGAGACTGATGTGGGAGCAGAAAAGATACATTGTGGTCATGTCAAGCCCCTCATCCATCGCCACATCTTGATCTTCCTGGTTGGGTTATCATAATCCACTTGCATTTTGTATTACTTAATAATGATCTTACCAGCCATATAAAAGCAAACTCAGAGATACTGACATAATAAATTGCACAAAAGAGTCTAGAGTAAGAGTTGCTTGATGCGGCAGGATTTTCCCTGTCCAATTACACTAAACTATTCGTGCAGCAGGAGGCCTGTGATTGGACAGGGAAAAGGGAGGCGGAGCTAAAAGTCTGAGAGAGTGAGAACTTCTCAGGAAGGAGATCCTGATCCCACGTGGTTTTAATAGACTCAGGTATTTATGAATAACATGTAGGGATAGAATGATTGGGATAACCTGTCTATTCTAGGTAGGCAGCTTGAATCATTATCAATTGGCTCAGAAATTATTGTGTGGGCATCTTGTGGATTGAGAATTGTTGATATATGAATCTGACTGGTTAATTATAAGCTTCAAGAGTTTTGATTTTACTGGGTTACTGGGTATTGTGATAATTACTGTGAGGTGTGCGGTCATTGCATGGGGCTGGCGCAGCACCATCCCACCAAGGGAAATTAGCAAGTCGGGTGGAGACATCTGGGGTGGGGGATTGGGACAGAGAGCCCGCTGAAATGAGAACATCCCGCTGGAGGGTTACTGGAATGTGGGACCGCTGACCACAGCGGGGTTATGGTTGTGAAGGAACTAGAGGCTCCAGAGACAAGCGAACTGGAGCTGGAAAAATCATGACCAGTCGCTGTGGGAGCTAGAAACGAAGGTGGTGGGACCACGCTGGGACCATGAGAGTAGCCACGACAGTAGTGCGGGAAGCCTAGTGGATCATTTTTTAATACTTCCTGCAACAGTTTGACACTGGGCAGTTTTGTAAGATGAACAGAAAATCTGTTAGACAGAGGAAAGGACGAGGGGCCTGCTCAAACTCGGCTTTGTCTTTCCAGAAGCTAACGAGCAGCTGAGAAAATTGGATTATGCTTACCACAGTAAAGTAGGCTGTGTGAAAACACAGCTTAATGAAGGGTGGACACTGCCCGTGCTGAATGGCCTCTGACACCTTGTAATAATAGACCATTCTCAAGGCCTATAATTTTCTCCTGTTGCTTCTACTCATTGCCATGGCAAAACAAAACAAAATTTAAAACAGAAACAAAAAACATAGATAGTGCTTCTTCCTGTATTTATACAAGCAGGGAATCACATAGGCAAGAGAGAAGAATGTCATCAGGGACATGCTCAAAATTGGAAATGACACATTGTTCTTG